ATATGATAAAGATTTTTCCTTGATGCTGTGTCTACATCTGCGGCTGCCTAAGGGCACAACAGTGACTGCAAAGCTCTTTCTCTCCTTCCTCTTCTATTGGTTCCAAGCTATTCCACCCACCGCCATTTGCTGATGTGTCAAACACATGAACGTCACACTTCGACCTCGATATCTCCCCCGGCATCCTGTAACCTGCCAAGAAATATAACTGTGACCCAATTGGAGCCATCGTCAGGTATTGCCTTTTGATTGGTGGCCAATTTGCAACTGACGTTGATATTGGAGACGACAGTGTTTCTAAATGTGACCCATCGACCTCGTTCCATATATTAAGTTCCCCATCAAATGCTTCGATGTGTCCTTTCCATACCTTTAAACAATCACCTGAGCTGAAAAGTTTATCATCAACGGCCACAATTTGATTCGGTGGGACGTCTAATTGCCACATCCCTCTTATCAAATCCCACTTCGCATTTTCAAAGTCGTACACCTCGGCAGAGCTCCGCTCCATGATTCCCCATGGTACAACTTCACCATCGGAGTCTCTCTTCTCAGCAAACCCACCTACCACGTGGATTTTCCCCTGCCACGTCACTGCCACACATTTGTATCTCAACGTGTTCATGTTCGGCAAAAGTTTCCATTCATCAAGGGCTGGGTCGTAAACCTCAGCAGACGAAGTTCCACGTGCGCTTGACAGCTTTGACTGTCCTCCTGCCACGTAGATTTTGTTATCACACACGGACACGGTGCAAGCAAAGTCAAACCTGGGGACACGTAGCGGAGCACATTTGGACCAAACATCCTTAACTAAGTCGTAACGTAGAACCCGTTGTAGCACTTCAACATTAACCTCAAAGATTTCATCAGGTTCATGGCCTGGAAATTTCTGACAGAGCCTGCCACCGATAATGTAAATGAAGTGACCAATGGAGACCATGGAAAAACTCTTTAAAACCTGGTTCTCAATAAGGCCAGGGATGGTGGTGACACGATGCCATGCATTGTTTGATGGGTCGTAACATTCAATCCAGTTGGAGATTTTTGCTGTGCAAAAGGAGGCGTAAATTCGATAAAAAGTTTCGGAAGAAGGTAGAGGGGAGGAAGGAGAAGGGAGCTGGGGTGAAAGGGATCCCATGGAGCTTTAGTGTGGTTTGTGTGTGAAGGTGAGGGAATTGTTTAGTGTGAAGGGGAGATGAAGATATAGGAGAAGGTGGGTGGAGATCACTAGAGAAATCTAATTTGTCATGGACGAGAAGGTAGGTGAGAAGAGGGTGGTAAATTTCTGGGTTTCGGGCGGAGCTGATGATATCTAAGATTTTCTTGTTGAAATGTTTGGTTTATATGATCGATGCTTACATTGTCCATTCTTTGGTTAGGACTTAGGATCGGGGAATACAAGGGACATAAATATCAATAGAATCAAACTTGGAACTTCAAATCAAAATGTATTATAATATATGCATGAACAAACGACATATTCCTTCCCAATGCTTAGAATTTGAGGTTGATACTCTTTGTTGCATTTATTTCAATTATCACCCTTAAAGTAATTTTTTTTTTTTTTAACAGATTTTCAACTTTTTACTGTAACACAGCGCACGTTAACATGCATTAGAGCTTTCTTTGATAAAAGATGAGCTCATTTTAGAAAAAAAGGGCTTATGTTAGTAGCGTCTAAGCTGATAGTTTTTTATTTTTTTTGACCGATTCCAAAGTCTAAAATTATTTTCAAGACCATCGTTGTACTCCCTATAATCTCCTCTACAAAATTCATACCTTCACTTGTCAACCCCACTTACCATTTTTTACCATCTCCAACAGTTACTAACGATGTTAGTTTAATGTTGTGAATCTGGAATAAATACAATTAAAGGTATCAACTTGAGATTCTGCTAAATCTCAGGTGAAAATATGTTGTTTACTCTATATGCATAATGGTAATGTTTCTATAGGTACATATACTAATAATTACCTTAAAGCATCTCCAAATGACTCTTTATATGATCCAAACTCTTTATTATAAATAGTCTAGCCATAAAAACAAGAGTTCAACATACTCTTTATCTTTAAAATATAAATTAGAGAATGAGTTTGACTCTCTACATTTAGAAAGTCAAATTTCACTCTCTATCCTAATTTTAATTAATAAACTACAAGATCCTATGCATTTTATTTATTAATTCTCTCTCTCATTAAGTCTCTTTCTTAAAAATAAAAAACATCTTCATTAAATTTAAAGAGTCCATTGAATATGAATAAAAATGTGTTTTTTATATTTAAAATTACTAAAAATACTATTTATTTATATGAAATATGCTCTTCAAAATAAAGAATATTATTGAAGATATGGTTGTCAAATCAAGTATCGTATCGTATATCGAAAACCTAATTTTTTTAATCGTGTATCACGTATTTATCGTATCATAGGATACGCCTTTTTCAAAAAAATTAATAAAATAATCAAAATTAAAAAAAAATTAATATCATTCTCAAGATTAATTAAAGAATTTTGTGATATTATTAGCTTTAAATTATGGTATTACATAATCAAAATTAATCACAAAATTAAGAATTTATATTATTTTCTCTCAACCATTCATATCATTTATAAGATCAATGATATCTCCACTTATATTATTATTATCATGTAAAATGGGTAACATGTATTCCTCTTCACTTTCTCCATGCAAAATGGGTAAATTTAAACAAATTTTAGTGAATCGGGTTGGGTGACCTGGTTTCGGTTTGAATTTTTTTTTTGGGCCTTTGGCCCAAATTAATAAAGTCGTATCGATCTATATCGATATTTTTAAGGATACGAACGGATATGTATCGTATCGTAAGATATATATCAACGTATCGAAAAGTTTATGATATATTCTCTAATACGTATCGTTAATGACCTGTATCGAATCGTATCATATGATACATATCGGATATTATAAGACACTAACAATCATGATTGAAGATGCTATTAATACTCGGTGATATGAAAAATTAATTATGATAAACCTACTTAGTAGACTAATCTACCGGCTGAATGTGCCACGTGTGAATCCTATCAAATCAGAAAATGAAAGACACTGTATTTGATTGAATGAAGCAGGGCCCATGGGCCACTGTCTACCCAGGAAACCAACTACAAAGAAAAGAGGGAATATTTTGTTAACCACTGTAGCCCGTTGGGTTTTACAGTGAAGAGAATGCATTCTCAGGTCCATCAAAATTTATTGTACTGCAAGCAATTATTGGTGCTGTAAATGCTCACATTGACAGAAGGTGGTAAGAAAGAATTGACAGTAGCACTACAGTAGACAATAATGAAGTAAATGATATCCGAGATGACCATGAGCTAGACTAAGTTTGTACAATGTACAGGCAGCACAAAATTTTAAAGGTAAGGTAGGTGTTATTTTTGTTAATTTTTAAATTTTATGTTTAATTTAATTTTTTTTTAATATTATTTTAAAAATTATCAGAATAATGAATCAAACGGATCCATTATATTTATAATTTTTTTATACAACTTTTTCATACAACTTTAATGTGGTAGTTTATGATTGGTCAACTTGTAATAAATCCCATTTACCTAAATACAAGCTGACCAACCATGAACTACCACATTAGAGTTGTATAAAAAAATTATATTAAAAAATTGTAAAGGTAGCTTTATTGAATTTTAATGGGTCAATCACCATTGGGTGGTATGATAAAAAAGTAAAAAAAGATTTTATAAGTTTTTGAGTGTAAGTCCTTTTAAATATTAATAGGGGTGATCATTGAAACTTTTATCCAATATATAATTTTAAGACCCTGACGAATTAGTTAAGATACAGATAAACTGGAGACCCCCAATGACTTAGAAATCTAATTTAAAATTTGGCATCACGCCAATCTTAACTATCAACTTTACACAAAATCCTGAAACACGTATAACTTTAGACATGAGATCGATGACTGACAGAGAATAAGGGTATGCTGATTATGTTGAAAATAAGCTTTAGACAGAAATAAATCACAGGATTCGGAAATGTAGGGGGGCAGTAGTGCTAAAAAGCTTAATAATTTAGAGAATGACATAATAAAATATTCGACATTACAATAGAAAGAATGAGTATTTTGAAATATAAAAGGGCAGAGTCCAAGAGTTTTTTACGAACTTCGAACTTTGCTTGTAACTCTTTAAAGAAACTAATTTTCACTCATATTCAGTTACATATAAAAATCCATGGTTGTTGCAAGTGTCTCATCTCACTTCTCCAAAAGCTATAGAACAAAAGGGCTTCCATGATTGGTTTCTGATTCGGTTTTTCTTTGATCAAAGATATAAATTGATCAGAGATTGCTTCCACCGTTTTGGAAGGGGACAAATTATATTTCAAATCTTTTGTATCATTAATTTTGTTTGAACACATTCAATTGATTAGTTGTCTAAGGCATGCCAGATTGTAGAGTAGGTGGACTTTCAAATCATAGAAGAATTGAAAGAAAACAAAAGAAGAAGAATATCGGGCGCAGCTGTTTCACAAATGCCTTTTCAGCTATTTCCCAAGAGTCATGGACAGCGAGATAAACAGGGCAGAAAAGAAAAGATGATATATTTTTGTTGGTCTCATGGGCCCTCTTCATCAATATTACAATTTTCTAATCATTTTACGTCAAATATTACTACATTAACATTTCACTTCACATCAGGATATTTAACATTTTCACTCTAAATCACTAAACTTGGTGTCTTCCCCGTGAGTGTACTATTACAAGTACTTACTAGTTAAATGCATTTTCTTTTGTTCTTCTTTGTCTTGGCTTGCTGCCAGCTAATTAATACAAGATCGTCGGCTTTATCGAAATCCTCCAATTGCATAGTGTTGAATGGTGACTATTTTCTGCAAACTTTACCAGTGTCAAGATATTTAGACCATACTTCACTTTTCAAGTATTTGAGACAACAATGTTCAATTGTATTGTATTTGTCCGGCAGTCGCTCTGTGGACCCTGATGTCAGCTGCTTCTCCAACTAATTTTTCTTCAAACAAATTACTGTATTTGTTCTCTACTACTCTCACAGTATGGTGTAGTTTAATTTGATATATAGTTCGAGAACTATACATCTTTTATGGTAACATTTCTCATTCTAATTATATGTGTAAAACTAATGTTGGGAAAATCAGTGGAAGGGAGCCATATTCTACAGCACAAAGGTACTTCAAAATGTATTTCTACTATATACGTGGTCGGTGACATGTCATCTATCTGTTCTGTTCAATATATTTTGACTCCGTGGCAGACTATTTGTTTGCAGGTCAAAATCACAACCACAGCCATGTCATGACTTTAATTACTCCATATTTGTCTAGTATATCTTCAAATGATTTTTTATATGATTTAGAAATAAAAATCTAACAGATTTTTATTCTTTAAATATAAATTAAAGAATAAGATTGACTTTTTACATTTAAAGAATCAAATATTACTCTCTATCCTAATTTTAAATAATAAATTACAAGTTTTTATGTATTTTATTTATGATTTATTTTTCCTATTAAGTTTCTTTCTTTAAAAAATATATTATCTTTCTTAAAATTTGAAGAATTTATTGAATTTAAATAAAAAATTTATACTTTACCTTTAAAAATCAATAAAAACATTCTTTATTTATATAAAATATAAACAACACCATTTGAATGTCCTAATTTCTTAGTAAAAACTGGAAATGAATGGCTGAAATGTAGGTTAGAAAGTCATTAACTCCCTGGCAAAGGGGAATAAATGATCCTAGCTGTTTGACACTCAATTCACAATTCGATATTCACATGGTTGAAATGTAGTAAATTACTTGGTTTTGGTGAAAAGTTAAGCTGTTAGCCTAATTAATGTGGGCAGTGTTCGTATCTGAGATGATGATGCAGAACATGGCGAATTTGTTGTCTTTTCTAATAATTTTGGTCGTTCTTGAGAAACTGAGTACGGTGGAACCTGTCAATCACATGAGCCTGCAACCTGTATAGTACGTTCAGAAGCATCTTTTGGGGAAAAAAAAAAAGAAATGTGTAGGCAGAGATGGCGATGCACAGTCAAAATTTTCATTCAAGTTTCTGGCCATACGCCTACAAAATCTGATATGCCCATGACTCTTGAATAATAAACATTTAACCCCGGATTCCAATAATCAATTCGTGCCCATATCTTAGCAATACATTTAGCTCCAGGATGAATTGTCCATTTCAATCGAAATTGATAGCTT